TCCTCAACTGAAGGAAGTTCACTACTTCCCAAAATCTGCACTTGGAGAGGCTCATAAGCCAGATTCAGCCCATGCAAGAAAGCAAAAACCCACTGTTGGGAGACAAGTTTTTTATAGTGCTGTGCATCTCCATCATTCCTCCAATCAATGGTCTAATAATAGTCCAGTTCCTTCCAGGCAGATGTAAGGGCTGAGTAGTATGTAGATAGGCTATGGTCCCCTTGCTTACATGTAGATGATTCTGCTTGAAGTTAATAAATCTTGGCAAAGTGCCTCTGTTCAGAATAGGTTGCCTTGGCTTGTTCCCAAATTTCACAAGCTGTGTCAGCCCATATGAAATTTTTCCTTGCATGAGGTAACAAAGAGCCTAACAGCCATGACATAACCATGCTGTTTTCTTGATCCCATCGATCATGTTCAGCAGTACCAGACTTTGGTTCTTTTATTTTTCCACTTATATAACTAGCCTTCCCCCTAGTTGTAACATAAAGTTTGATGCCTTTGGACCATTCCAGATAGTTCGACCATCAAAGGGGGTAATAGACATAGAGAAATTCATGCCATTCATCCCCCCATTTAAGTTTCCTTGTTGGGAAGTAATACTAGAGGTTGCTGAATCCTCAATAGCCATTTTTACAGAAAATCTACTGCCGTTTTTTCAAAAACTGAATCTGATATAGAGGGTTTTTTGTCTGAAAAAAAAGGAGCCTCCAAAGAATGTTTAACAGTACTGTAGGTGATAACTCTTAGTTGAAACACCTCGGTTTACAGGAGGAGACCACCAGTCCCTAAATCCTCAAAACTGTGACATTCACAGTGGTCAAATGTTTACGTATGAATGTAACAGTGCATACCTATCTTCCACGACCCACAACACATAGAAAAACCCTCAGAAAATCAAGTTTTGGTGCATTCGGCTGCCACCACAAATCCAGAAAGACACCTTACTGCATTCGGTTGCCACCACAGATCTAGAAAGATCTCTTACTGCATTCGGTTACCACCACAGATCTGGAGAGATCTTTTACTGCATTCGGCTGGCACCACACCCTTCTCCTTGGTACAACAACCAAGAGAGAAGAAAGAAAAAATCAGGGGCTGGAGGTTGCACCCAGAAGAAGAAACCATGATATGAGAAAAAACAAATTTCCAGAAAAGGAAAGAAACCACAATCCGAGATGAGAAGCTTGCGCCCAGATCAGAGATGCTCTGATACCATGTAGTTCGACAGAGAAGAGAGAAGAGAGAAAAGAGAAGAATGTATTCTGATACTAAAGCTGGCGGCGCCTAAGTTAGTATTTATACTTAGGGTGACAACTCATAGGAAATACAAGAGGAAAGGGAAGAAATGCCCCTACTAGGCCACAGGCCACTACACATTACAAGAGTAATGTTGCTTTTCATTTAATACATACTGATGTTTGGGGACCTTATTTTATTCCGTGTATGGGTGGCTATAAATATTTCATTCTCGTTGTTGATGACTATTCGCGGTATACTTGGTTGTATTTGATGAATAGCCAAGGTGAAGTTCCTTCCATCATGAAAGGCTTCTTCAGTATGGTGGAGACACGGTTTTAGAAGAAGATCAAGATTATTAGATCTGACAATGCCAAGGAGTACTTTGAGAAGCACTTACAATCCTTCCTTGAAGAAAAAGGAGTGATTCACCAGAGTTCTTTCCCTCATACTCCGCAACAAAATGGGGTGTTGGAGAGGAAAACATGCATGTGATTGAAGTTGCCAAAGGCTTGCTATTCCAGATGCATGTTCCAACTTGGTTTTGGGGGCATGCTGCTCAAAGCTGTATATCTTATTAACAGACTTCCCTCGCAGACCCTACATCTCCAGTCTCCTCATCAGCTTCTTTTTCCTTATGAGGATACATTCCATCTTCCTCCCAAGGTTTTTGGGTGTATCTGCTTTGTCCATGACATGAGTCCTTGTAGGCTGAAATTTGATTGAAAGTCTATCAAGTGTCTTCTTGGGGTATTCTTCAGTCCAAAAGGGGTATCATTGTTATGACCCTTATTCTGGAAAACGGTATATGCCCAAAGATGTCACATTCTTTGAGTCTACTCCCTTCTTCTTCATCTCTCGTCCTTCTAGAAAACGGTATCGTCTCCTTTTTGTATGTCAATTCCTACAGCTGATGTTGTCAATCCTTCTTCTCCTCCTCCTCCTCCCTGTGGTGGCAGTAGTCATCCTGTTTTGCCTCCTCCTATTCCTTGATCTTGGCATCAGTGATTCGCCAGACAAAAAAAGAGGATGACTCCAGAGATTGAATGTCCATTACAATCTGATATTTCAAACTATGTCTCTTATGATACTTTATCACCCTCTTATTGTGCCTATATCTCTTCTATTGCTTCTGTTTTTATCCCTCACAATGTTATTGAGGTAGTGTAGTTCCCTCATTGGAAGGATGCTATGAACTAGGAAATGGAGGCACTCAAAAAAAAAACAAACATGGGAAATTGTTTCTCTTCTAGAAGGAAAAATTCATATTGGATGCAAATGGGTTTACATAGTGAAGCATAAAGCCGATGGCTCAATTGAAAGGTATAAAGCTCGACTTGTAGCAAAAGGGTACACTTAGTCTTATGACATTGATTACTAGGTAACATTTGCTCTAGTAGCCAAGATGAATTCAATCTGAGTTATCATGTCTCTTGCTGCCCACTATTCTTGGCCCTTGTATCAAATGGATGTTAAGAATGCCTTCCTTAATGGAGGCCTTTAGGAAGAAGTTTACATGGAACTTCCTCCAAAAGTGAACATCCCTAGGAGTGAAGGAAAGGTTTGCTGTTTGAAGAAATCTATTTATGGCCTTAAACAATCCCCTAGAGCTTGATTTGATAGATTCAGGAAAGTTGTCTTAAAAATTGGCTTGTCACAATCACAAGCTGACCATAACCTATTTATTAGGAGAGCAAATGGAAAAATAACTATGTTGATAGTATATTTCGATGATATTGTTATCACAGGGGATGATATCTCTGAGATTGTTGAACTAAAGTCTTTCCTTGCTACTGAATTCGAAATTAAGGATCTTGGAAATCTCTGGTATTTCCTAGGGGTTGAGGTCGCAAGGTCAAAGAGGGGCATTTATATTTCTTAGAGGAAATATGTCCTTGATTTGCTTCAAGAGGTAGGAAAATTAGATTGTAAACTGGCCGAAACTCCAATTGATCCCAATCATAAGTTGGGAGTTGATGATGGAGATGTCCTTCCTAACAAATGTGTGTATCAAAGACTTGTTGGTCGCCTTCTCTACTTGTTTCTGACTAGACCAGATATATCATATGCTGTAAGTGCGGTCAGTCAATACATGCACAAACCTAGATCATCTCATATGCAAGAAGTGAATAGAATACTTGCCTATTTGAAGGGATGTCCAAGAAAGGGGATGTTGTATTCTAATCATGGACATCTGAAGGTAGAGGCCTATTCTGATGCTGACTGGGTAGGTTCTATTGATGATAGACGATCTACTTCTGGCTATTGTACCTTGGTGGGTGGTAATGTTGTATCTTGGAGAAGCAAGAAGCAATCAATTGCAACTCGATCTAGTGCAGAGACAGAGTATAGAGCCATGGTACATGGTGTCTCGGAATTGTTGTGGCTAAAGAACTTGTTGACAGAAATGGGAGTGCATATTGATACTCCAATGATATTATATTGTGACAATCAAGCTGCCATAAACATAAATCCTGTACAACATGATCGTACAAAACATATAGAGGTTGATCAGCATTTCATTAGAGAAAGAGTTGCCAGTGGAGAGATTTGTCTACCTTATGTGAGGTCTGAAAACTAGTTGGCTAATTGTGTTACTAAAGGTGTTCCCAAATCAAAGCTTGACAACAATTTGAACAAGCTAGGCATGATAAATATCTATACTTAGCTTGAGGGGGAGTGTTAAGAGTGTGAGGGCATTTCTGTCCTTTTATGAATATTTGTATTTGGGCGCTTATTCAAGGACACCTTTGTAATTTTGCTTGTGAAGTAAAATGAAAAGTCTCTTGGTGTGAACAGTAACACACCAAGCATTCTCGACACTTCCTTCCTCTTCTTCTTCCCTTTTCTTTTCAACATCTCTAAACCTTCCAACTTCTTTCCAAAAACAAGTTATATTGTTGTTTTAGTAATTAGTAATTTGAAGGGCCATTTAATAACTTCTGAACTGGATGAACCGAATTGCCTCTTGATTTGTGATGTAGTAGATAGCTATATAGTGAAATATTTAGGGGTAAAGTAGTATAATTGGCATGCTATTCAGAAATTATGGAGATCACACTCTATTTAGTTGCTTACTTGAATACAAATAGATAACCAATTCAATTTGCCCAATTCAGCCATTTTCAAACAGCCCATCAGTCTAACAATGCTCCTTGAACATTTAATGGCTAACCTTCTGATAATCACCATGATATGTTCCTCATGAAGCAAGAAACCCAAGAAAACATCAAGTATTAAAATAAGAAAATATTTTAGAAGGTTTTACATATATGAGTAGATTTAAGAAGACATACAATATCGCCCTTCATAGAGATGAATGGCAAAATTGCATCAGTCTAGCCTACCCCAAATGGTTGAGAGATGGCTTTGTTGAGTTGAGTAGATCTAGATTTTTTATAGATGAGCAGGTCTATCTTGGAAAATTTCAATTTATATAGATAAAATTAGTAAGAAAATAGTGTTTTGAACATAAAACCTTAACTCCCTCATTTCTTCCTTTCATCTCCATGAAACTGTTAAAATTAATTTCTCATCTTTACATGAGTTCTGTTTCCTGTTTTAAAGGAAGATATCGAGACAATTCACCTTCCTGAAGTTACCAGAATTCTGCTCTCTCCTAACATTATGGTGGAATTAGTTAATCACCATACCGTGCTCTTCTATATATCTCATATAGTCATATATCAAACATTTTTATTTTTTATTTAGATGTTTCCTATGTGAACTCCTTTTGATGTTTAACAAGTTTCCTTTGGTAGGCATCCATGCAGAAATTGCTGGAGCAAAACATGAATATTGGTCCTCCTTAGCCCCTCTTCCTCTTGAAGTTGTGTTGTCTGCTGGACAGAAAGCTAAAGAGGAAAATCCGACAGGTTAAATATCAATTATTAGTAGATAACTTAAGTTTTTTTCACTCAATGTTTCCAACTCAGGTTAGATATTGTAATTTCAATGTTGGAGGTTGAATGATTTTGCTTATGATATACTTTTTAATGACTTGGTTATTTTTTTCAATTTACTTATGTGCAGAGAAAACAGATGCAGAGGAAAGGGATAAAATTCCTCATAGCCTAAGTGACCTTTCTGGAGATGGGAACATTGAGAGCATGCTTTTAGTTGAAAAAGGAATGCGTGAACTAGCTTCACTAAAGGTTTTAATCATATCCTTATGTTTAATGTTTATAGTTTTTCAGTCTATATATCTTTTAATGCTTTTGATTTTTTGTTGAATGCTTTACTCCTAAGGCTGCATTTGGAAAGAGTGCAGAAAGTGAATCCACTGATATGCAAAATTTGTTCAAGTTGATGGATGTAAACCTGGTTCATTTTTGCGCTGATAAATTCAGTGTCTTGTTTTCTTGTGATGGATGCAAACATGAATCTCAAGGTTGGAACCAACCTATTTTATATTGGCCAACTTTAGGCTCAGTTCGGAAGGAGTACAAATGCCAACATGTACAGTGCAAATACATACAAAATAATACAAATATAAGGTTTTGCCATCTACATATTTGCATTTGTACTCCTTCCAAACTGGGCCTTAAATGCAAAATTTTCTTCCATTTTTTACAAGCAAACTTTGCTCCCATTTTGAATGCAAAAAACGGTTTACTTTCATTTTTCAGAACAAAAATGCATTCTTACCAAACACCTGCAAAACCAAACCAGATTCCAAATTCACTTCAGTTCTGCATTCGCACTCTTTACTAGATGCAGACTAAGATTCAACACAAACGGTATCTTGGTTTTGATGCAACATGTAACAGCAGTAAGCTTTCTATGTTATCTTCATGGTACAATTTTTTTCACTAAGGTAGTGAGATTAGGTAATAGATGCTTCTTTGGTTGACAAGCTAGGGCTTTTTTTGATGGGGACCTTACAAATGACTTTTCACAACATTGGCATCGCTGTCATCTTGCACTAGCTTGAGGTGGGCGAGTGAGAAGACTACATCATATTTAAATAGAACACTAGATGAATATTTTATGTCATTTCATATTTTCAACGACTAATAAATGCTACTTTTGTCTCTATATTGGTCATCAAACATGAATAATGTGTTATTGCAAAAAATAATGATCACCTACTCTCTTTTAATTTTCCCCTATTTTTAACTTAACATGGAGCATAGGAGCAACAAATAAATTTATAATCAAAGAGGTTTCAATATATTCACAACGCAGCTTCTGGTACTCAGCTCAACCTTGGTCCCAACTATTTGGGGTTGGCTACAGAAATCTGTTCTGCCATTGTGCTCTGTCAAGGGACAAAAAGGTGGCTGCAGGTTATTTTCCCAAAGTTGATATTCAATCAATTTATTTTTGGGTCAGATTCAGTGTGAGTTGGTATTTAAATTTCTGAACCCACCTCTGAATTATTACATCTCTGTCAAAATTGATCATGACTATGCTAAACTTCTGACACTACCTGACTAGGAACTTCATAGATTGGAGAATACAATTGCAAGAAGCCACAAACCTGACAAATGTGAAAAACATGCAGCACTAGATGCATATATTGATTTTGTTTCCTATGAATTATTCACTTTCAGTAAGCAGGAGTTAACTTTGAAATCTTTTTTAAGGTGGAGGATGCTGTACTGCTTGCAATGGCACAAAATCGACGCCCACATTTTCTGAAGTTTGATAATCATGTCTCAGGTCTGAGATACAAATTTATTATTTCAATATTTTCCACTTTGCATTGAAAGTGATTTTTGTGAGATAATGTGTTGCTTGATATCTCGAATTCATGGTCGAATATCTACTTTACAATCTATGACAATGCAACATGTTTGGATCATGATACAGGAAACTTTTGGGCTGAGAGCATTTAGATATAGATTTCTTTTTCTTTTTTATTAGTGTTTTTAAATAAAGCTTAGACCATTTAGATATCACATGTTGGTAGTTTGTTTAGCATGTTCACTTGAATTTAGAAGAAAGAAGCAATCTGATGAGAACTATGTGAAGTTGGATCATATGCAGAAAATCTTGGGAATATTAGCAATCTTTGGACACCTTTTTTTTTCCCTTAGATATCTGTCATCTGAAGTTTTCATCTTCCACATGGAATGTAGGACTGTAAACAGATAGGATTCATCAACATCTGAATCCAATCTGATTAATGAAAACTGAAATCCAAATCCAACCCAAAATCTGATTGGTTTTGATGATCTCAGATCAGATTCATATTTAATTCAGCTCCACTTCATTTTTTAAAATAAAGGAAAATTTTGAAAAGTTAATTACTTTTTAACTCGTATATATGATAAATTAATATAAAATAAAGGTTTGAATTTATTATATATAGAATATAAGATAATTATATAAATTCCGTTGACAGCCCTAATGGATGTAGAGAACTGGGAAACTAGCCGTAGGGCTAATTTTGTACTTTTTCTTCTCCCTTGTTGTATAACTATTCTTTATTCTCTTTCTTTTGTATATTAAGGACAGATTTGTCCTTTTACCTTTTAATATAAATATAACTTTTAGGGTGTCGACTGACACAAGGTGTCACACCCACCATTCGGCTGTGTTCTCTCTCTCTCTCTTTGATTTTCGATCTGACTCTGACATGGTATCAGAGCAGGTCACGATCTGATCTGCAAGTAACTTCTTCCTCACCCCATTCTTATCTGTAATCTAGAGTACTCCCTAACAGTATTTGGGAGGCTCTTGAGTGTCCTTGAATCCTTTTTCTGAGGCTGCATTCAATCAGAACTCGACAGACTCTGTTCTTGGACTGCCGCGCCATCAGATTTCTCTTTTGGTTTGGATCTCCCTCTAGAAGCATCGGATCAGACTGAAACTTTAGATCTAGTTGGTTTGAATCAGATTTGATTTAGAAGGGTTTTTAGCCACTTCAGAGTTCGGCAGACCCTTACAGTTTCCTTTTTTGAACATCGACTGAGAGGTACTTCTTTGTTCTACTGTTTTGAACTCTTCTTGTTGTGGTTTTTCTTGCTCTTGTGATTCAATGGTATCAGAAAGGATGGAAATTCTCCCCATTAAGTTTAATGGTACGAACTATATTCAATTTCCAATTTCATGTGGAGGCGAAAGGTCTCTGGGGATATCTGGATGGATCAATAGTTAAACCTGATTATTCGGACATCAAGGATCTTAATCAGTGGAGAATTGATAATGCAAAAATTGCACCATGAATCTTAGGATCCGTTGAAACTGACATTGCAATTCCTATGAGAGGATATAGGAATGCTTATGAGATGTATGAGTATCGCGAGAAAGTATATCAGCAATCAAACACCTCAAGACAGTACCAGATAGAGGTTGACATCTCCTATTATCAAGGAGAAAGAAAGTTCCAAGAGTACTATGCTGGGTTTATTAACCTTTGGACCAAATATGAGCTTTTTCACATGGGAAATGATCCTTCAGAATGTTGTGTGAAGTATATGAAGGAACATTTTAATAGAAGAAAGACTAAGCACTTCCTAATGCATCTCAGACCTGAATTCAAAGTTGTTAGATCTAATATCCTGAATCAATGAACACTTCCTGACTTGGGTATTATTCTTGGGGAAATTCTGAGGGCTGAAACTAGATTTGCCACACAGACTTCTCTGGATGGAAGAAAGGAGTCCAACATTGATACTGTCTTTCTAGCAACAAAACCAAAAGGGAAGAAGGACTTCTCTAAAATACAGTGCTATGAATGTAAGGAGTTCGGGCATGTTGTTTCTCACTGCAAGAAAAAGAATACATGCACCTACTATAAGAAGGTAGGCCATATTATCACTGAATGCCCCACTCGGCCTCAGAAAAGCAATGGATCAAATCAGAAGAAAGGACAAGGCTTATCAGACAGGTGTAGATGGATCAGATACATCATCCTCCATTACTTCTGTGGCCGGCCAAAATGACACTTCAGGTAGCATATCTGAAGAACGAATTCGACAGCTCATGTCCTCTGTCATCTCTTCAGCCTTCTCTGCTATGGACCTGTCTGGTAAGTCTCCTACCTATTGTCCCTTATCGAACCATCTATAGTACATTGACTCAGGAGCTTCTAACCATATGGCAGGGGCCACTCTTGGTCAGTGTCCTTGTGAATAAACCCTAGTTGATTCTAGGTCAAAGTTGAGAAGAAGGAAGAAGAAAGAAAAGAGAAAGGAGAAGAATGTTCGGCCAGACTAGAAGAGAGAATGTGAAAAAATCACTCTCCTAGCCGACCCACTTGGATTTTATTCATAAAACTTGGAGTTACAAGAAAGACAGTTTTGTCCCTCATATAAGATGGGACACATAACTTAAACTCATATACAATAAACCTTTCACTTTCAAGAAGATAAACCAGAATGACCAAAATACCCTTGACTCGAGCACTCTAATAGTCCTAAACCCCATCTCCCCAATAAACACATTATTACTGCTAATGGTGAGAAATTAGGTATACTTGGATGTGATGATTTGTATTTATCTACTTCTTAAGTCATCTCCATTTCATTTGTCCAAAACCTTATTTGTACCTAAGCTTACCACCAATTTAATTTCTGTTGGCCAACTTGTAGAGGAAGGTAAAATGTCTCATTTACTTCTGATGGTTGTTTGATACAGGACCGACAAACTAGGGCAGTGAAGGGGAAGGAGCGTAGACTCGGAAGACTCTTTCCTCTAAAATTTGAGAAGAATAAAATTGTGCCTGATTCTACTTCATGTTTGATTTCTACTACTTCTAGTTTTGAATCTATTAATTGTAATAAAGATTAGCAGTTGTGGCATAAATGCCTGGGCCATCCTTTCTCTAAGAAACTTGATCAATTTTTTTCTTCTGGTAGTTTACCTATTTCTAATGTTTCTCTTAAGAATGTGAGTAAAGATTACATTACTTGTGGCTTATGTAAGAGCCATATTTTGCCTTTTCCTTCTCATTCTGAACATGCAATAGTCCCTTTTTATTTAATATGTAGTGATGTTTGGTCGTCTCTAGTTGTCTCAGGATGGGTTTTAAATATTTTATAACCTTTATTGATGACTGCACTTGTTTCACTTGGGCTTATTTTCTTCGAAAGAAATCTGAAGTGTACACTGTATTTAAGCACTTTCACACCTATGCTACCACTCAATTTGATGCCCAAATTTGTGTGCTACGATCGGATTCAAGGGGAGAGTATATTGATGGGGATTTCCAAAACTATTTAAAACTACATGGAATTCAAACCCAAAAGTCCTATCCAGGCACCCCCACAACAAAACGGGGTTGCAAAAAGGAAAAATGGGCATATCTTGAGTGTAGTCAGAACCCTTCTACAGGATTCCCATGTACCCTCTTGGTTTTGGGTGGAGGCGGCCAGTACTGCTGTGTATCTCATAAATCATCTTTCATCATCAGTTTTGAATAACTCCTCTCCATTTCAATCCCTCTTTCACAAATCCCCAAATCTATCCATGCTCAAAGTGTTTGGATGTGATTGTTCTGTCCATGAACGCACAAAGTTAATTACACAAGCAGCTTTGTGTGCCTTTATGGGGTACAGTTTTGAACATAAAGGGTATCTTTGCTATGACCCTTTGGTTTGTCATCTTCGAATTTCTCGTAATGTAGTTTTTATTGAAAGTGTGTCATTTTCAGAACATATTGTGAAATTCTCAGCTCCTTCTATTTCCTTGTTGCACAGTTTTGATTCTACAGATACCTCAAATACTCCATTGTCACCTCCGCAACAACTTTAGACCTACTTCAGGAAGAAACGGCCTTCTTCAGTCTCGATCCCCCCCTCTGCTCTGCCTCCAGTTGTTGTTCCAGTCACTTCAGCTTCCTCAATAAGTGTTCAAGACCTTCCTTCTGAACCCATTCCTCCTACTTTATGTCATTCCTCTAGAATTTCTCGTCCACCTAACCATTATGGTTATTCACCAGACCATAGCTCCTTTTCTGCCATTTTATCTACCACAGACATTCTCAGATCTTACCAGTAGGTTGTGGCAAAACCACACTGAAAAGATGCAATGGATTCTGAGATTCGAGCTCTTCATGAGAATGACACCTAGGACCTGGTCAAAGCTCCACCTAAGACATCTCTCATAGGAAGTCAATGGGTCTATTCTGTGAAACTAAAATCTGATGGAAGCCTAGACAGATACAAAGCTAGGCATGTTGCACAGGGCTACAAATAGGAATATGGGATAGACTATGAGGAGACCTTTTCTCCTGTAGCTAAGATGACCACTGTATGACTTTTGATGGTTGTGTTTGCAGTCAAACAGTGGACAATTCATTAGATGGATGTCAAGAATGCTTTTCTCCATGGGGAGTTGAAAGATACAGTCTACATGAAGCCTCCTCCAGGATATTGTACAAAGCCGCAACTTGTTTGTTGTCTGAAGAAGTCACTTTATGGCCTGAAGCAAGCTCCTAGGGCCTAGTTTGAGAAATTCAGATCTGTCATCATTGATGCTGGCTTTATCCAGAGTTCTTTTGATTACTCCTTGTTCACCCTAAGGCGGAAGCAGGGAGTAACGATGTTACTTCTTTATGTTGATGATATACTCATTACAAGAGATGACATAGAATGAATTGATAAGCTACAACAGTTACTCAGTGAGTCCTTTAAGATGAAGGACTTGGGGCCTTTGACATACTTCTAAGGCCTTGAAGTGAGTAGAAATTCTCGAGGCTACTTTGTCAATCAACAGAAGTATGTGGCTGATCTTGTTAAATTGGAAAATCTTAGTGATTTTAAGTTTGTGGACACCCCACTAGAACTGAATCTGAAACTTAGCAAAGATTATGGCTTTCCTCTTGAAGATCCTACCCTTTATCATCAGCTAGTGGGCAGCTTGATGTATCTCACCATGACTCGTCCAGATATATCTTATGCAATTTAGATAGTAAGCCACTTTGTGTCTTCCCCAAGACAACCTCATTTATCTGCAGTTCATTGGATCATCAGATATGTGCGAGGCACCCTGTCACACGGGATATTCTTCTCCTCCTCATTCCCTATTAATCTCATGGCCTATGTAGATGCTGATTGGGCTGGATGCCCTGACACCTGACGATCCACTATTGGCTGGTGTGTTTTCTTAGGCAATTCTCTTATCTCATGGAAGTGCAAGAAGCAAGCTACCATATCCAAGTCTTCCACTGAAGCTGAATACAGGGCTATGTCTTCCATGTGTAGTGAGATCATATGGCTTCGAGCTCTTCCTTTTGAAATACTTAATGAGCCAGCATCACATGTCCCTCTGTATGCAAACAATATCAATGAATTTAAAATTGCTTCTAACCCCGTCTTCCACGAGCACACCAAACACATAGAAGTTGATTGCCATTTCATCCGCGATCTTCTTCTTGGGGGTACCATATCTCTTCCTCATGTCTCCTCTGGGCTCCAACTAGCAGACTTGTTGACTAAAGCAATGACTCAAGCTCAACATCTATTTCTTATGCACAAACTGATGCTTATTCCTAGGCATCAATTTGAGGGGGAGTGTAGAGAACTAGGAAACTAGCCATAGGGCTAATTTTGTACTTTTTTTCCCTTGTTGTATAACTATTCTTTATTCTCTTTCTTTTGCATATTAAGGACAGATTTGTCCTTTTACCTTTTCATATAAATATAACTTTTAGGGTGTCGACTGACACAAGGTGTCACACCCACCATTCGGCTATGTTCTCTCTCTCTTTCTCTTTCTTTGATTTTCAATCTGACTCTGACAATGGAATGGTTTCTCTTCAAGTCAGCATGCTTGTTTTTCCTTCTATTAGTTAAGTCAGGATGACACAAGATGATTCATGGAAAGCATAAATTATAGAAACACCAAAATTAAGTAGGACCAATGTATTATGTTCGAAGTCATCCATAAATTTGTTTTCTGAGAGTATATGATACTACCTTCGTTTTTTGGAATGGGAACTTTGATTCTAAAGTTTCATATTTTGAATAATTTTAGAACCAAGTCTGTCCATTATTATATATCATAGGTTTGAATAGAACGGAATGGTGAAACAGGATTCATGTAGCAGACCTCATATTGGGACAAAGCTTATATAATGATGTTGATGATGACTATGACTAAATTTGTCCATATTGAATAGTTTGATATTATTATTATTATTATTATTATTAATACTATTGTTTAATGAAAAAGTAGAAGCTCACTCAGCTTTAAGCTTTTAATCAACATGAATAGTAGATCCTTAAGAGGATTTTTTTCTATGTAGTTTCAGATCTATTTTTACTCTACTCAAAAAAGCATTCTTGTATTAATTACAATTAGGCATACAATTTAAAGAAATTGGATGAATAAAACACTTTTGAATTTGTTATCCAGGTTTTTACCTACCTGAAATTTAATTATCTTTTTTAGATTTCTATGTTCACGCTCTTTTAGGTGAAATAGTATCAGGTTGCCATAATTACTGTGATAAAATCATTCCTTGGATAACAAAAGAAGATTGTGGCTATAAACATACTGTCTTTAATATGTTAGAGAAGATTATGATTTGAATTTATTATGACCTTTCATGGTAGACACAATAAATGGTTTCACTACTAGTTCATTCAATATCTGTTTGGATACATAATAATTCTGTTTATCATAGATGCAGATCACTTGAAGATTCAAGATGAAGGTCAGATAGAAGCGTTTGGTATGTTGATCCACTAAACAATTTCATAATGTTCAAGTGATTTATTCTTTGACTATCTCATATAATATATAAATCTAAAACCATTCACCCAAATTGCATTTTTTTAAGCTTTAGATTGAATGAAAAAAATAGGTGAAACCACATCTTGGTCAATAGCATATGGCCTTTGAGCTCAAGATAGCACCAGCTACTTTACTCCAAACGGTAATTGAAGGCTTCTACTTTTGAGGGAGAAGTTTGGATGAATTTCATTGTGAGGGAAGGCTTCTTTAATTCACTTTTATGGATAGAACATGACCCATTAACCCTAGTTCACTTCAACCTGGAAACTTCCCTTTTTGAGGTTTATTTTCTAACTAGATATATTTCCCATTCAATTCCTACCTAAAATAGGGGTTACAAGAGAGGGTGAAAGCATGGAAGTGGTACATGCTTCGTGTAAAGAAACATGTTTTCAATGGAAATAAGCTTACAAAGAAAAAGTTAATCTAGAATAACACTTCTCCAAAATAGCATTTAAAGAAAACAAAATTGTTTTATGAGAAAATTCAAATCAAGAAGCAGGATTTCATGGGAGATAATATGTCATGGCAATTTTGGATAGAAGCCAGGTGGATAGAGTGACTCCATTTGCATAGTGGCAGCATTATGTGATTATCACACAACAATGTCCATGATGTGGTTATCCTACCAATGATCCCACTTGAAAGATGAGCTGTTAACAGAGATAGGTTTAGGATAAAAACTTCAAAGAAACAGAAGAAAAGAAGAGAAGAAATGGAGGAGAAGGCACAGGAAAAAGAGAATAAAAGGGAGCAGAATGTAGTGGTCCTGCCACCCCAATGATTGGTATTTATATGAGAAATGAAATAAAAGGTGTACAATGACCATAATACCTTGCCAACTATAGCATTGAGAAAAACAGTAGTAACAGTAGTATGACAGAAATAAAAAAGTAATAAAAAGTAAACATGTGGGACCACAAATAAGTTTCAAGTCTGATCTACTGTATCTCTACACTCCCCCCTCAAGTTTGGAATATATATTGGTCATCCCAGCATGCGTAAATTTGTCTGCTACTTGACTTTAGTGACTACTTTGGTGAAAAGATCAGCAAGCTGCATGTCAAAACCAACATATAGCAGAAAGACTTCTTGAGAGGCAACTCTCTCCCTGATAAAATGTCGATCCACCTCAATATGTTTTGTTCTTTAATGTTGTATTGAATTGTAGGCACTATTAATGGTGGCCTGGTAATTGCTGTTTCGAATGCAGCTACAGTAACCCGAACTAGGAGAGAAGGAAGAAGAAGATGAAGAAGAAGAAAAGAGAAAGAGAGAACAGGAGGGTTTAGTCAAAACTGATTCGTACTCTGTTCATTCGACCCCCTAATGTTTATTAGGTTCTAATAACCTTTATAAAGACTAAACTGCCCTTACTTAAGTGTGGGCAGAGTATCTCTAATAAAACTGCCACATAAGCAAGGTACTTAACAAACATGAGATGACTAAACTACCCCTATTCGGCTCACTTTAACAATTGCAATACAACATTAAAGGCATTTCATACTCAACACCTAACTCTTCAAGTGGAGATCTCAGCCACACCATGAGCCATAGACCTATACTCCACTTTAGCACTTGAACATGCAATAACATTCTGTTTCTTATTCCATGAGACAAGGTTCCCTCCAACAAAAGCATAATACCCTAATGTGGACCTCTTATCATCAACACATCTGGCCTAGCCAACATTAATGTATGCCTTTATATTCATATGACCATCATTCTTAAAATGTATACCATGACCTGGACACCTTCAAGTAGGCAAGGATCCTCTCTACTACAAGGTGGGTGATCCTAGGAGTATGCATGTATTGCCTGATGTTGTACTTATTATTTTAGGTGTTGCAAGAGTAAAGAGAACAAGAATAATCTTAGAGGTGTCCAGAATAATAGACCCCACCTCAAAGAGTCTCGTATATGTAGAAGAACTACTGAAGGGTAGTTTTGTAATTCTATTGTACTTTGTTTTTCTTTCTTGTACTGTAATAGGCGTGTACTTTAGTGTACAACTCTTTTATTTTCTTTGAAAGGACAATCTTGTCCATTTACCTAAGATTAATATAAATATATCTTTTCTGGGTTGGCTCGATCATATTGATCAACCCTAACAGATCTGAACCTCTGTCTCTATCCTTGCTCTTTCACTTTCTCACGAGCTGACATGGTATCAGAGTAGGCTGCTCTCTGATCCCTTTCTCCTCCTTTTTGATGAGTGTGACGACAAATTTAGTCACTACCGATTGAATCTGGATTGTTTCGATCTATCCAGAGATTTGTTCTTTGTGTTCTGCGCATCCGAGAGAGATTTCATTAAATCTCTCTCGTACGACATCAGTTTGCAGTAAGAATTGAAAGGAAGTGTCTCCTATGCCCTCTCAACATATTCTGAAACTTTCATCAAGATCTGAGAAGTTTTGAGAGAGATCTATACATCTCTTCTGGGTGACTGCACCTAGACTTTCCTTTTCTGGACTGTGTTTCAAGTTTTTTCCATTTGTTGGAACTTGGACAATTTCTAGTGACTGTAAGAGGCTTCTATTATCAGTTTCTTTGATTCTCACAGCTTGATTACTTCTTTATTGCTTGATTTGATCGGTCTTTACTTGTTTCCTTTTCGTTATGGCTCTGGAAAAGAATGAATTTATTTCTGTTAAGTTTGATGGGAGCAACTATGCTCTCTGGAAATTTCATTTTCAATACTTTGTTGAAGGGAAAGGCTTGTGGGGTTACATTGATGGTTCTACTTCCATGCCTGACGCCAGTGATGTTAAAGGGCTGAAACAGTGGAGAACCGATAATGGTCAGGTTATCTCATGGATACTTGGGTCTATCTCAATGGATGTCAGTATTCCGATGAGAGGTCTCAAGTCTGCCCATGACATGTTCGAATACCTAGAAAAGGTATATCAGCAATCGAATATGTCTAGGCAATATCAGATCGAAATTGATATCTTCTCCTATGTTCAAGGGGAGAAGTGGATTCGGGAATACTATGCAGGATTTTTAAATCTTTGGACTGAATACGAACTGGCTCACTTTGGGGATCTGTCTACAGATTATTGTGTGAAGACTATGAAGAAGCATCTCACTAAGAGAAAGACTATGAACTTTTTGATGCACCTTAGGCCTGACTATGAAACTCTACGTTCCAGCATTCTCAGTAGAGAACCAATGCCTGACCTCGATGCAATCCTTGGAGAGTTGTTACGGGAGGAAACTCGTCTTCTTACCTTATCTGCACTAGATTAGAAGAAGGAACATAGGATTGATACTATTTTTTAGCCACCAAACAGGAGGTTAAGAAAGACTTCTCAAAGTTGCAATGTTATGAATGCAAAGAATTTGGTAGAAAAACTTTTGTACCTACTGTCCGACTAAGCCTCCCAAGAAAGGACAACATAAGGCTTATCAGGCCTCAACAGAATCTGTTTCTATGGATGCTGCCACCTCATCATCAGCCCACAAACCAGATGCCCAGGGAAATCTGACTAAGGAATAGATCCATGAGCTCATGTCTTCAACTATTTCTTCTGCTTTTTCTGCTTTTGGACTAGCCAGTAAGTCTGCTTTTTTGTGTTCATCTCCTTGTCACATGTGGATTATTGATTCCGGGGCCTCAAGTCACATGACTAGGGCCTCCTTCAATCAGTCTCCTAAACCTAGAACCTTTGACAACCATATTATTACTGCTAATGGTGATTCTTTACTTGTATATGGTTGTAATGATTTGTTCTTATCCACCACTAAGACCAAACCCTTACATCTTCCCAAAACTTTCTTTGTGCCTAAATTGACTACTAGTTTAATATCTGCTAGGCAACTTGTTGATGATGGTAATAATGTCCTATTTACTCGTGATGGTTGTTTTATTCAGGACCAGCACTTTAGGAAGCTGAAGGGGAAGGGGCGTAGGCTTGGGAGGTTGTTTGCTCTGGAATTCGAGACTATGAAATCCTTACCGGATTCTTGTTTGCTATCTGTTACACTTAGTTCTTCTATTTCTTCATGTAATAATGTGTGGCATTTATGGAATAGACGTTTGGGTCACACTCATCCTTAAAATTTGGATTATTTATTTTCCTCCTGTTGTTTGCCTTTGAATACTTCTTCAGTCAAAAATATTGATAAATCTTGTTTAACTTGTTATAGTAAAATCCATGCTTTACCTTTTCCATCTTCTACTGAACTTGCATCTACACCTTTTTATCTCATTCATAGTGATGTGTGGTCATCTCCAGTTATTTCATGCTTGGGTATAAGTACTTTGTGTTATTCATTGATGACTGTACTCATTACACATGGGTTTACTTTCTTCGAAAGAAATCAGAAGTTTTCTCCATGTTTAAGAACTTTCATGCCATGGTAATAACCTAGTTTAAAAGCACCATAAATATTTTGATGTCAGATTCAAGGGGAGAGTATTATGATGGTGAGGACGGTGAGTTTCAAAGCTATCTGAAACATGGCATTCAGTCCCAGAGATCTTGTCCTGGTACTCCTCAACAGAATGGAGTATTGGAGCACAAAAACTGTCACATTGCTAGTATGGTGAGATCCTTGATACAAGACTCTCATGCTCCCCTTACCTTCTGGGTGGAGGTGACCCGCACTATTGTTCATCTCATCAATAGTCTTCCTACACCTATTCTTGAAAATTCTTCTCCCCATCAGTCCTTATTTCATCATCCACCAAACCTATCCATACTTCGTGTCTTCGGATGTGTTTGCTTTGTCCATCTCCCTCCCCATGAACGCACAAAGCTAACAGCTCAATCAGATGTGTGCTTTCATGGAATATAGTACTGAACACAAGGGGTTTCTCTGTTATGATCCCAAAGTCCGTCGGTTGCACATTTCTCGCAATGTCATCTTTCTTGAGAATCTTTCATTCTTTGAACATATTTGCAAATTACCTGCACCATCCATTTCTGTTCT